ACCTTTCTGTCTATCCACAAATTCTTCAAACCAGAGCTCGGCGTTCTGAGGTCGAGCTCTCGTCTTCCCCTCTCCCTCAGTTTCTCGGCACATGGAACAGCAGCATGAAAAAAATGTTTCATGTGCAGGCGAGCAGGTATATGTTATACATGATGATTGAAACCTGAAACCCTGGTTTGAAAAACGGAATGTCCCGCACCCTTCACGAGTGTTCCGTTTCTCAAACCACAGTCTCAGGCTTCAACCATCATGTATAGCGGTACGGAGGTTGGGTCTGCAACGGGCGAGTTATTATTATTTTGCGAAACACGAGCACTTTACGAGCCTTAGCTCATGTTTCTACGTCATGAATGGCAAGCAAGCACTTTCATTTTGAAGCCGATCATCCGAACATCAAAGCGCGTGATTTTCACACTCCACTAACCAGTAAACTTTTCGAGTATAGGTATTGCTGCGCTGCTGCACTCGCAAGCGCGATCACTGGTATTGATCCACTCACAGTTTAGTCAATTATTATAGCTGAGAGACTGTTGCGAAATGCACGGACGCCTTTTTGTCGGCCAGATTGATAGACCAGTGCTCGTCCTTCTCACTGTGCCAAGTCCCATTTTTATAGACCAGCAGACTGTTCACAAACAAGCCTGCGTTGCTATGTGTGGGCACTCAACGTGCGCAAAAACCAGATTCGCGGGAGGGACAGCGCATGCGCATTTCGCCGTGCCGACAGCAGCGCCACGGCAGTGGTGTTACGACAGAGCGGCGCGTTGGTGTATCATCGCAGCTGCTGGCTCGAGCTCCTGGATTTACTCGGCAGCTTCCGATGGCGCGCCTTTCCGCGTGAACAAGTATCCAGGGCCGGCTTCAAGCCGCGTCTCAAGACGCTCGCGCGACCGAGTCTTTGCACCGCTTTCTTTTTCCCGGTCTCAGCCGAGACGCTCTCGCCCAGGCAAAGTGACGCGCCCAAGCCAGAGGCTCTGGTAGCGTTGCACATAATAGGCAGTTTCTGCACGGTGCCTGGAACGCGTGTCCGACATGTCTGTTTAATGTCCCACGCATCAGAAGTTGTCCCCAAGTGGCAACAAATGGCGTCGTAAGAGCCTAGGTGTCACGCTGTCGGATGTCGCGATCCTGGCCGTTGCGAGCAAAGTTTCGGCGAAAAGCACGGCTGTAGGCGAGTGTCGCTTTCGTCGTAGCGTCCAAAGTCCTGGCGGCCAAAGCTTCCGTGGACTGTCAACCTGCAGCAGAACAGACGTCTGCCAGATTGGGTTGCTGTGGCTCGTCCATGATCACGGCCTAGCAACGGCGTGCCACTTTCATGAAGTCATTAGGCGGAAACCAAAAGACCACTTTTTTTGGACCCGGTAAACGTAAACACTTGCAACACGGTAAATGCGTTGCTGGCACCGTACATTTAGCGTAACGTTGCCGTGCGGAGCGGCATTGCCAGCGTGAGCTCGCGCGGCGAAACAGAAGCGTATTGTATGAAACTGAGAAAGACTCCCCATTTCCGCTAAAAGCACCTTCGAGTCAATGAATTTAGCATACACCTTTCCAATAGAGACTATTAGTAGACCGTACACTATAAAGCGTCGAGCTGCTAGCGGGAGCTCATTTACAAACCCACGTTCCGGAGTGCGTTCTACCCGCCCCAGCACGCGCATGTCCGTCGCTCAGACTTGTACACGTTACTGAAAAAAAGTAACCGAGTACAATTCCAATTACAGCCTCACAAAAGTAATCGAAAAATTACTCTGAAGTAAGCGATTACTTTCATGTTACTTTTCATACAACCTTTTTTATTACGGTAGCACATATACACATTTAAATAGGTGTTCCGCATTTATACATTTCTTATTTTTTCGTCCTCTACACATTGTTAAGTTTCAGCAGCAGTTGTATCTCGAAGCACGGCCACTCGATCCCCCCTGTTGGTGCGGCCTGCCGATGTTTTTCTGAAAACAAAAGAGCGCGCGTGAGAGGAGAACTTCTCCCATTTTCCGTGGGGGCGCTGCACATCGGTGAGCGGCTGGTGAGCGGTCTTGTGAGCTGAAAGCTATACTCTCTTTCACCTTACGTTGTACCGCAGGAAAGGCTGTAAGCGCGAGCTCTTTGCTCTGGGGCAGATCTCGGCGGCACAAGCTCTAGTGCAGTAAGGGCAGCTGTCAACGCTATGAGCTCGCGCTTCCAGCCTTCGCTGCAGTACAACATAAGGTGAAAGAGAGTTTAGAGAAGGCGCCCAACGCGCTCCTACTCCGCTACCCAGATAAAATATCTGCCTGTCATTGGCTTCGCCGATACCGAGGCGCTGCCGCGGTTGCAGAAGGCAGCAAAACTCGCTTTCCCCCCCACATATGCACCGCTGTGCTCGGCGAGAATATCGTAGTGTCACTCTGCGCTCGCGTGTGTGGTTTCTGTTGGCATTTTGGAAGCTGCCGGAAATGTAAATGCGCGTTCTTGTTCTGAGTGCCAGACGGCGATGAAATGTGCCAACTCAACTCGTGAAACAGGAAATCCTGCAGTCGATGAAGTACAATGAAGTCTCTTCCGAGCTTGAGTTCGCACCGCTCACTTACATATGGCTGGCTACTTGGCCTTCGTTTGCGAACAAAAGGTGACCATTTTTATTTGTAGAAATTGTCGTAATTTCAAAGTAATTAGCTGAAACATTCAACCTAGCAAAGCAGTAAGAATTTCTCAGTGAAAGCAAGAAAGGCTGGTGTGTAGAACCCGCTAAACTTTGCAGGTGACGTGTCCGGAATGCAAGCGCGACATAAGGGAAATACATCACATTATGGAGCATATCAGTCCATGTTTAGTTTTGACCAAGGAGGACTCAGCTATCCACGACCTGAAGCTGTCTGGCTGTGCAAGCTCGTCTGCACCTTTGTCGAGAGGGCTCTACAGTCGGCAGAGATTCGTGGTTGTGGAAGGATTTGCAAGGTCCTCTCGAGCGCCGTGCTTCCACACCTTATTGACCGCCCGCTGATGTGGTCTGTTAACTGCCGAGACCCCTACCACAGCGAAGAGCTCTGCGAGCTCGTTCTCAAAAAACTCCTCAGACCTTTTTCGGCAAACTGGGCTGGTGACCTAAACAGCACACCAGAGGATATATTGAGGCTTTTGCGGAAGCCTCTTTCCCGAAAGGTACTTCGCTTGTGAACTATATGAGTTCATTGGTTTGTTTTTTGTGAACAATGAAGTTTATATTGCTGAAGTTATGCACGCGGAATCTGATATTATATTGTCCTTCACAGATGAATAAATGGCACAGCTCGCGCGTGCTCGAGCGTCGGTTAAAACCGGAAATAATACGGCCTACCTATATCCAACTATAACTCCTATATTACAGTGGTAATAGAAACGGGGCAACAGTTACGGGAGCAAGAAAACGACAATTCGCTCATACTGCCAGCAGAATGCAGCTTTAGCGCGCAGCCTGCAGCTGAGTGAGCTTTTCGCAGAAAGGATCGCGTGCTTTTATTCTACACAGATTTGTCACATCATTCATGCAATCTGGCACTCATTTCAATTGAGACTTGCGGCTTCATGAAAGAAAAATCTAAATAGCCAGTCTGGGCCGGGCCGGGCGTACTGCTCCTCTCTCACCCGCTCATTCATACTGGAAGCAAATCCGCGTTCGCAAAGCGGTTGCGAACGCGGTTGTATAAAGATACAGTACAATTGCACGCGCACTTGATGTCATCGAGTGCGCGTGCAATTGCACTGGATCTTTATGCAACCGCGTTCGCAGCCGCTTTGCGAACGCGGATCCGCTTCCAGTGTGAATGAACGGTCACTATATTTCGTCTTACCTTAGCATGGACTAACCGCGAACGCTGTGCTAGCGCGAGCGGCTAGCCTTTACTGCCTTGACTGGAGCACTCGCTGCACGAGCGCTCATGCAGCCGCCGAGGCTTCCTTCGAGGCAACTATCTCGCGCTTTTAGCACGCGCGGCTAACAAGTACATACTAACGTGAAACGAAGTATAGAAATCCTCGATGTGCTCCCCCGAAAGGAACTCTATCTCTCACCGGTAACGAGCGCCACGGCTGGCGCTGCGGGGTAAAGTAGAACTATCGCTCTCACCGGCGGAGTGAGGCATACGGCAGGCCGCTCCCAAGGGGAGTCCTAATCGAGTGGCCGTGCTCGAAGTTTCCGTCGCCCATTCGCCAATGAAACTTGGTGTCATGAACAGAGGTTTTAGTTTCAATTGGCGCAGCTGATGGAGGGATATTATTCGGGAACTAATATTAGGGACGAAGACGTCATTTTGACAAACCCAATGAAACATATTAAATACGAACTAAGAATATAGGAGTTCGAAAGTGATACCCCCTAAACCAGTCAAAAGCTCGTAGGAGCATGCCCATGAATTTGAATACTAACTGTTTCCTGGTTAAAAGCTAAAAACAGTCCAAAGACACGGACAAGAACCACCTGTTGACCGGTTTTGCCCAGAACTGAGTGGCTACAGCACTTCTGACCCCTCTCGCAAAATAAAAAAAAAAGCAGAAATTGAGAAAAATTGTAATGGGTAGTTTTAAAATCGATTACAACAAGAACGTAATTGAACTACAAGGACCGTTACTCCTTAAAGGAAGTAATTGAAGCGTTACAATATTACAGCAAAATGTAATCTATTACAAGAAATCCATTACTCGTAACGCGTTACAAGTCTGGCGTCGCTTCGGAGAACGACCCAGGCACCAGCGATAGGCACGAATGCTGGAAATGACTCCGACTAAGCAAGCCTCCGAGGGTGCAGGTATCGTGCTTGGCCTTCCGCGCGACTGTGTTCTACGGGGCAGAGAACAGCGTCGATTTTCTCTTCTTTCTCGTAGCGAACGGTTCTGCCCGATCGTCGTCGGCGGCGTGACCCTGCGGCGCCCAGCGCGCTTGGGCGTTGTTCCCGAACCGTGTTGGTCTCGCCGGAGTCGCGGCGTGCGCTTCGCTCTCCCGCCCCGGGCGTCAGTCGGTTCCGAGTGGGCCGCCCGGGAAGGTTGCTCCGTCCGCTCCGCAGTGTGCTCACGCCCCGAAGGATACGCGCTCCCTTGGGATGATGCAGACACGCGCCTCGTGCTCCTGCGATCGTAGGGCTCCTCTGCCCGACAGCTTCGGACTGCGGTGAGTCTCGTGCGCCACCCCCGGGTGTGCCTGGGCATAGGAAGCCGCCGCAGGTCGCTCGCTGCGGACGCAATTTCTAATATTCTCGGCGTAATTAACGTGACTTATGATTGCCAGAATGATTAGAAAGCTCTACGCGGTGTCAAGTGTCTTGTGCGATGTTGTCACCGAGGCGCAGTTTCCGCACCGCTGTCGAAGTTGCTTCCGGAACAGGGGCGGAAGATTGGGTTGGCCTGGGGGGGGGGGGGGGGGGGGGGGGGGGGGGGAGTTTGCAGAGAGATTTGACGTCGCGGACGAAGCACTGGCTAGGTAATTTTTTAAGCTAACAATCTGGATTTTCCCCAAAACTCAGCATTTATTTCTTAATAAAAAGCTAGGTGTATATTTGTGTCTTATTTTTGGGAAGGAAGCCATTGGCAAACATGAAATGGGGGCGGAACTCCCCCCCCCCCCCCCCCCCTTTCATAAATGGGGGGGAGTTCCGTAAATCTTTGACGTCGAGGGTTGGAGCCGTAAGAGGGCGCCGCCGAAACATCTCGTAGTCCTCGAAGCTCCGGGCTCGAGCCCGTGCATTCGACGGAATTTCTGCCGTGCCACTTTTTTCTTTGTATTCACATTTCTAATGTGTTGTCACGGCAATGTCCATTCATGTTTCCACTGATATTGGGCGTCGCCTATTGGTCTTATATTTGTTCTTTTTTTTACTTTTTGATGGAACTTTGCGATGTCTTTATTTATGACCAGCCTTCGTCCACCGCACATGTGAAATTCACTCGGAATGTAAGAGTATAGAATGGCTTTATTAGAGTATATGTTTTACATCAGCAGCAGTTTCGAATTGCCCCGACCGCCAATTTCTGAATTGTTCTCTTTCTCAGTTTTTCTCCGTAAAAGAATACGACATTCATAGCAATAAGGTTCACACCTACACCCCTGCCACACAATCAAAATAAGTGCAATTTTTAACAAAAAAAGTATAATTTTATGTATTAATATGGGTTAAAATGTAATGTTTATGCGCCCCTTTCTTTCAAACATTGAAAAATATGGGGTGCTTAAGAGAAAACAAACTCTTTCCGAGATCAAGCCGCCAGCCACGGCCGACGTTAGGGATTGCGAAAAACCTACCAATTATCTAAATAATTAACCAGTATGTACTTATTAGCTTTTAAGTTATAAAAAGGAAATAACCATATGGTTTCAGTTAGAAAATTTCCGAGTGTCGGTACAGCACTTTACAATATCCCCCCCCCCCCCCCCCCCCCCCCCCCCCCGGCCCCGCCCAGGCTCACAAAAAGAAAAAAACATTAATGATTTTTTTTTTAAAGGAACAATTGCTGAAACAAATTTCTTCTTAAGTGTTTAAATCGGACACATAATTCTATTTTTAGTTTTTACACCCCGGTGCTTAGAAACTAAGCACCTTTTCTTGAATCCCATTGGTAAGAGAGATGACTGACGTGCAGATGTTGGTTGTAAAATTCTATCTCCGTGCCGCAATTGTAGTTTCACTTTTAATCGTCAATTTTTAATATCTGAGAAACAAATAGTCTAGATAGAGTCATTACTGTTTACAAAAATATCCCAAGCTTACCCTTTCCGGATTGGTGTGAAACTATAACAAACATGGCTGCCACGTCTGAAAAGTTCTCAACGAGCGCAGGTCGTCAGGCTCGTCTAAAAATGAGTACGAGTCGTTCTGCGTTCACCGTGGTTTTTAGAGGAAGATCTCTTCAACCAGCGTATTTTGTAACAAACAACGGTCGTTTGGAAGCGCTGTGCGGCTGCTTGTTTTCGTAGCAGGACTGGACTCACGTTAACTATGTTGCTTGATCTGGCTAGAGTTGTTCCTTTGCAGATGTTAATACTGAATTAAATTGTTAGTTCCCGTAGATGCGGCCCCGCTGTTTTGTGAATTGTGCAACCGTCGTGATTGCAACCACTGTTTCAATACCCTATAAGATACCTACACAAATAAGAATTTGCGAGCCATTTGGCTGGAGGCCATTGGGCGATCGGCACACAATAAGGTTGTTTATGTATGTTCTTGTCATTTTGCTACAAAAGTCAAGTAGCTCGAGTTTTGCAGTGCACCTTGGCTGCCAAAACTAAAATTTTAAGGTCGCGTTTTAATTGTGCGTTATGAGGCTTATCCATCTTGCCCGCGGATGCCGCGCAAAAAAAAACAACAACAAAAACATAAAAGTAGAGAAACTGCATATTTATTTCGTGGATTCTTTTTTAGTCTTCTCGGTCGCTTTTTGCCGCACAGACGCTGACAGATGCTTGTATTCCACCGTGGCCCGTGCATGATAGAACGTTAGAACGCCGCTTTCATGGTCGCGTCTTGCCCAGCATTGCAGAAGTTTTAAACGGGGGCGGACTAGCTGACGGAACAAGGCAAAAACCGACGCCGACGCGCGGGTTTCATGTCTGCGTCTGTGCATTGAAGACGACGCTAGACGGTGGTGCAATAGCAGACTATGCCGGAGGCAGCCGCGCATAGGGACGGGGCCACTGATCTGTGGGCGAGGCTTCGAACAGGCCGTGATCTACACCTAAATTGTGTCTAACGGCGTAAATATTGAGAAAATATATCTTTATGATGGAAAAAAATTGTTTAAAAAAAGACGTATACCAATTATGCCTTTTAAAAACTTTTTTTTTTATTAATTTCACTTATTTTTAATAATTTGAACCAATGAGAAAGGCGATCGGTATCACGGTCCAATGGCCCCGGGATCTGAGTGGAAGAAGGGGGGGACGCATCGACGGCACCGCGATTGCACGGCCGTTACAGTATACCACAGCTCATTCTTCTCACTAATTGGCCTGATCAGCAGATCCCACCAGGGTTAATCACTCACAGGCGAAGAAACGCAGGGCAGTCTCGGTCGTCATATTAGCGCTGAGAAGCCAATCACATCGTGGCATTAGCTGAGAAGAGCGCCAAAGAACGCAAACCCAGAAGCTCGATAATAATAGGCCACGCTTTTGTTATATCTGTCAGAAACTATACGGCGAGCAATTCCAGCCAGCCTTGTACACGATGCAATTACTATGTATTTAATTGGATTACTCGATTACTTTAGAGCAGTGGTCGGCGATCTTTTGCAGCCGCGGGCAGAATTGTCGCAAAGCTGAGACAGAGCGAGCCAGATGAAAACCCAAAGAAGGGGGGGGGGGGGGGGGGGGGTTCAATCAGCTCACGAAAATTACAGATAAAACGCAAAGGGAACTGTTATGCTCAGTGTTGGAGGCTATCTTTTCCGTAACTCTTGAAACTGCAGGTACTGCCTCCATGATTGCCGCAGAGCCACACAGTTTTCATTCCAAAACCCACTGACCGTGACAAACTGAAAACCATTCAGTCTTACCGTTTAATTTCGCTTTGTAACGTGAAGTATTAGATGTTTGCCATCTGACAAGTCCCTTAGTCAGTATCCTCACAGCGAACCTCTGACTACGACACAAAACTGATGAAATTGACAATGGTATGATCCGCGATTCCGAACGAAAAGTAGGCTGAATGCAACGACCTTAGTTATTGATTTCCAATGCATCACTATGGTGCACAACAAATGCCCATGGTGAATAAACTGATCTCGTGGTAGAACGCTTCAGAGCCAGTACGTCCAATTACACCAGGATTACAACCGACAATAATTCTTGCGGCATTAGTCGTGAAATGTGTGTTTGTGTAGGGGGGGATGCTCGTCCAGTAGCGTGCTGGAGGCCGCATAATATTCCCTCGCGGGCCGCATCTCACTTCCGGGCCGCCTGTTGCCTACCCCTGTTTTAGAGGACAAGTAACTGACTTCCACTTTAAAACGAAACCGTTACTTTTCTGATTATTGCAGAATTCGAGAACGGAATATCTTTCTGCTGGTTTAAAAACGAGCCTTTTGTGCCGTTGACTGATAGATCAAAATTACCGGATTGTAAACTACTCACCTTTTATATCGACCAATTTTTGTAGACCATCCCTCTGTCGAAGACTTTGTTCGATAATTCCTTGGCTGGAATGCTGTGGAAACAAAAGGTGCCGTTAGGGAAAGGAGGAAAGATATTAAGGGAAACACGTAATTTTGTTGCTTTGAAAAGCAGTCAAATTACTCTTGTGATTACGGTACTACCTAATAAAGGAAATTAAATTATTAAAACAATTACTCCACAAAATAATCAAATACAAGTAATGATTACTTGTCATGGAGTCAGCTGCCAGCGAAGCGGTGACTGATTGAGTTTAATGAGAAGGTCCGTTCAAGTTTTTTTTCCTGCTAGCTTCGTGTTTTAATTGGCCGGACTAGGTCCTTCATTATCGGACGATTCCTTCGTCATCGATAGTAGTCCCCATATTCATACTTTGACGCGCGACAGAACACTCAAGTCCACGGAGTTTAGTTCCTTCTGCATGAGCCAGGACAATCGGCAATAATGTACCTTCGTAACAAAGGCACGTAAAAAGGTTCACGTGCTCGAAATTTGCTATGCCCGGCTCGCAAATGGCCACGTCCTCGTCCTCGATAGTCAGGCTACATGCCACTCCCGCCATTTTTTTTTAAACAACACAAACCATATTAAACACGAGCAAAAAAAGCGTTCACGTTCCGATGAAGGGAGCTACAGATACTTGTATGTCACGTCTATTTCCTGGTGACAGCTTTTATTATTCTCGTTATTTGTGCCCAGGCGGTAGAATATGAAACCGTGACACGCCGTGGATACGTGATCGCGAATGGGAAGGATTGTGCAGGAGCTGGCTTCAGTCTGGGGGACTGCGTCGGTTGCTATGTACGGTCACACGTGACTCGACTTTGCCACCGAACACCGAGTTAGTCTGGGTCACGCGATCAATATACGGGCATAGGTTTAAACGTCTTTTGATATGATGCCTTGGTTTTGGGAGACAATATGCTTTATTGGAACTGATACGCCATGTCAGGCTCACCTCATGAGAAAAAGCAAGTGTTAAGCATTGTTCATACGTTGCGAGAAGT